AATACAGTGTCACATATGCATAATTTGACAGTAAAACTGACCTGCGGGGTCTATGCAAGTATAATGTGATAAAATTATAATAGATGGTGAGGCTGTAATTCTAGAAGGTCATTTAAAATCCCCCGAAGCTGAGAATTAGTCTGGTTTATCCAGGTATAATTTAGACCTAGAGCGTATATCATGTGGCCCCTACCCTGGACAAATTTTAGCCACTGCCCCGCCCCCACCTGGTGTTTCCTAAAAACGCCACTGTCCCCTCATTCGGCGATTCATAAAAACGCCATTTCTGCGTTCAAAGTTATCACAACTCGACTGTTAGGAAATTCTTGTTGATGTTCCAGTCTGCTGATATCAAACGATTCCTGGAGATATTGGTACTCCCCAAGTAATAAAAGACTGGAAGTTGTTGGATCCTAGGGCTGTTGACAGTTGACCGAGATTCAGTCTATCTGGAGAATGTTTCCGTGTAGTTAATAGTCGTATGAATGGAAGCATCCCGAGGATATTTACACACCGGGATTAAAAACATGGCCGATTCAAAAAATAATCAACCAAAAAGCATAAGCAATACAGCACAATATTATCTCGTATCGAGAATATCAAATATTTAATCCAACACGTTTATATATATAGCACAAAAAATTATTCAGCCTTTGCTTGATTCGCATTTCTATTTTAAAACAGAGGAAACTGAAATCAGTGAAGAGATGTGATCAACAAGAATAGGAAATAGAATATCTTAATATAGTACACTTATTAATAGACAAGCCACAAACAGAACCTGTTCAATGAAAAGATAATTAAATCTTTACATAAAGGAAAGTGTCTACTAGGTATATCTTGACCTATGCCGCGATTGAGCTTTGGACCTGCAGGTTAGAGACCAGATCTTTTGATAAAAGACAAGCAACTCACTGCCATTGGCGGCAATTGCGATTTAAAGTCAACCCTTGCGCCGATTGAGTTGATCCAGCGATTGACCAGATTCTCGAAGACACCGCCCGATTCTCGCAGATAGCACCAGAATCGTGCAGATACCACCAGATTCTCGTAGATACCACCAGATTCTCGGAGATACCACCAGATTCGTGCAGATACCACCGGATTCGTGCAGATACCACCAGATTCTCGGAGATACCGCCAGAATCGTGCAGATACCACCGGATTCTCGGAGATACCACCAGATTCGTGCAGATACCACCAGATTCGTGCAGATACCACCAGATTCTCGGAGATACCACCAGATTCGTGCAGATACCACCGGATTCGTGCAGATACCACCAGATTCTCGCAGATACCACCAGAATCGTGCAGATACCACCGGATTCTCGGAGATACCACCAGATTCGTGCAGACACCACCAGATTCGTGCAGATACCACCAGATTCGTGCAGATACCACCAGATTCGTGCAGATACCACCAGATTCGTGCAGATACCACCAGATTCTCGCAGTAATATTGAAAAATACAGCTGCTCTTAGATTCTGTCACTCGCATGATCACCCTTTAGACCAAACCACCATTGATGTTATTTCAATGCATCAGACGCCACACTTCCTCTTTCTCACCCAAAGCCTGTATTAAATCGGATGTGTGTTATCAATGTTCTTCAAATGTTTAAATTCCAGCGACTAGCGACTGTTAAATGAGCAGCCAATTTCACTAATCACAAGGAAACCTAAGCCAGTGTTGGAATTTCTATGTCTCTATTTACTTTGCCAAATTATTAATTATCGTGTTCCATACACCGTCTACTAAGACGATTTCCGAATACAGAATCACTTAAGGCAAAGACGATTACTCTGCAGCAACAATTCAAGCTGTAGTTGGAGCTTAAAAAGCCTTGTATGAGGTTTTTCACTCCCATTTTTTTTTTTAAATTCCGTACGATTAGTCAAAGGGATGTCGAACCTTTCCAATTCAGGGGGGTGCCAGCGGGAGGAGTGCAAACTATTTTTTGTTCTTTATTTTAAACGATTTGAAATATGATTTTATACGTTTTCTCCTCAAAATATGTGCCAGAATACACCAAATCAATTCAATTTTTCGAAAATTTTCTTAGGTGAACCGTGTCAGACGCTCCATGAAAGGCTTGCGACTAAGACGCCTCCAAGGTTGCCGCATTTTGAATCAGCTTCGACAGTTGTACCCCCCCCCCCCCCCTTTCCCCCATTTAGTCAGCCTGCTCCCATTTTGTAACCAAGTCTCTCCGCCACTGCTCCGATTAAGACGCATGGCTATTCCCCATAAAAGAGAAACAGTCATCAGCATAATTCCTGGAGGACCGTTATTGTAGTCAATTCTACATTTTAATCTGCCATGAATCCGATATATCTGGTCGAATATAAACTTGAGGAATTGGGCCATTTGAAACTGTGGAAGTCGATATTGAAACTGTGTCCATTAAGTGGTTTATAGTGAGATTTAAAACAGCTGTTACAAGACCTAGTCTGTAGTGAATAGAATAACATATAATCAATATACTCTGCTCGATTCCTACATCTTTTAAAGGTACAGGTTCGCCATCAGTTTGACCAGCCGTACCTTAGTCTCAGAAATGGAATTTTCTTAGCTAATTAATAATAGTGTTCACAGCTCACCATCGAGATTTGAACCTCTAAAACACCGTGTATCCAGAATTATCTGCGTTTGAAAGATAAAATGACGACAATTCTTTTCTCGACACTCTGCCATAGAGCGACGACATATAAAGAGGTAGAAAGTGAAAGAATGTTCGTACATTTCTAGTGCCTCTGAAGACTATTTACACACTTTTTACAAGACCCCTGAAAATGCCGAACGTGTCCCTTTAAACTTTGAAGATTGAAGAGGATTTTCTGGACGTGTCGACACAACAGAGTGGTTGCCATCCTCTCAACTTCTAAAACAACTTGTTATACAATCAAAGTATTAGTTGGATATTTGGACTACGAGATGTTCGCTCAATAGTCAACTTCATGTATCTAAGTTCTTTCATAAAGAGGTTTTTCTACCCTTTGTATTGTATAAAATACAATCTTGGCAGCTCCTTGAATTTTTTACTTTTACGTGTAGAAAATATAACAAATGAGGTACCATGGAGGCAAGGCAGAAATAAATATAATCAATGATTCAATTCAAGTTAGGTGTGTATGTATAAATAAACCAAGTACTAATGACCCAAACCGCAAAACCAAATCCAAACAACATATTGACCAAACATTGATAGCATCTAATAAACTTTTCGCATGAGGAAGTATATCAATCTAAGTGAGTAAGTATTTCATAATTAAAAGTGGTATCAGGTGTCTAGAAGACTAAGCGAATCCATAGCATTGTATACAACTTTTCCAGCAGATTGAAACTAAAATGACCGAAGGCAAGATCCCCTACTCTTCATTCGTAAAGAATAACTGTAGCTAACTTAAATCAGGTATTCTCGAAAGCACTGGCACCAGAATATTTCATACCTCCAGAAGGATTCGAACCCACGTCACCTAATCGCTTAGCAGGGTTATCTTTATGAGATGTTACTCAGTTACCTAGTTATGAAATCATGCCAGAATGGCTAAGAGTGTAAAACTTTTGAGGCAAAACGAACTGTGAAACGAAACTACACAGATGCCAAGATATCCCAACCCTTCTTTCGGAAAGGTTAACCCTAGTCAACTACATTCCATGAATTAACCTTTTAACCACAAGAACGACCAGCCATTGATCAGACGAAATACAACACCTACTTTTCTTTCACTTTGACAAGATGTACCAGATGTCTCTTTCACATAATAAAAGCTTTCTAGTTCATGGTTCAATATTAACTTTCAGGCAATATCAGATTCCATTCCAATATCTCCTCTTCTGTCTCATAGAAAACACAACGACCGTCTTCAACCGCAGGGAATCGCCGATTATATGATCATCCAATAACTGTTTTAAAAGTCCATAGAAATCTAGTCTTAGCCTGCAGCAGAACGTATTCGTCTGGTCATGGGTAAACACTCATACAAAACCTCTTTTATCAGTTTTTAACAAGATGGAAGTGTCACAATACTTTCAATATTTGTAAAAGTCCTTCGTTTCATAACTGATAGAAATTATCCTGAAAAAGGCTGATATACAATATTGAATTGGAATATAAGTATTGCAAACTATGCAAAATGAAAATATTTAAATATATAAGGATATTTACAAAGAATAACGTCCATCCAAGGGGCGAATCTGTATAAAAGTTTATCTGAGCATTTCCCAGGGAAAATATGATAAAGAGCAATCCCAGAATATCGACATTACTGTGACAGCTATGCTGGAGTGGCCACCTGTTGATACTAGCCTAGAAATGTACGCGAAATATTCTTGCTTATGTTTATATTACCGATAAAAAGTCATTACGAAACGGCATAAGAATTGCACACTTTACCCTAGAAACAGACGTCAACACCCCCCCCCCCCCGTCCCAAATCCACTCCCAGCCCCAAACAGTCTCAACGCTATGCTTTATATGCATAGGCTACTTTTGCACAAAGAAACGTCTACTAAGAGTGCAAGGGGAGTAAGTACCTTAACTGTAATACGCTTTCATATCCACAAAGATCAAGAATATTTTTTCACTTTTACTTTTTGTCAATAAAAAAATTTGCTTTATTGAATCACGTAGACCTGAAAATAGAAGAGAATTTACCTGTAGAAATGTTCCATGAATCGGATGCCATTTATTGGTAAATCTAAAAGCACACTTAATTGGCGATTAAAGTTAACTTTTAACACACATTTCTAAATGGCTAATAGTCGGTAATTGCAGTAATTTGGACTATTATAGGATTTTATATGGAGAATCAGTTACAATCAAATACCTGGTGATATCATTTAGTCTAAATATATTATAGTCTTTGTATGTACTTTTAACAAATTTGTTACGCATGGCAGTCGGACAAGATTGTTTACTAATGAAACGAAGAGTTGATGAACCAACCAAGCTAAAAATTCTTTCAACTGCTCTAAAGGCTTGAGTCTTAATCTTTACCTTTAACACACCGCAATAGGACATTGGTTTCACCAATGTCACGGAGTCAGAACATGCGAAAAATTGTTGGTTGAGCGAGTTTTAACAGAGAGTTGAGGAACAAACCAAGCGAAAAATTCTTTCAACTGCTCAAAAGGGTCGAGTGAACCATAAGCTTAGATATTCGAATGAGTTCTTTTAGATTTCTGACTGCATTACCCCATTGACAATGATTTGAATTGGAAAGGTGGTCGTCAATCGAGCGGGTTTGGAAATGTTGTATTCTTCGGACTGTATATGTTCATCAAGATCCTCTTGAGTCGCGAAAAGAGAATGGGTAAAAGAGTCACGAAGATTCCCTCCACAACTGCGATAACTTTTCTCATTATTTAAAGTGCATAACAGAAAGACTTAAAACTCCATTTCTGCTAATCATGTTCTCACCATTACAAGACAGCGCAAACTGAGTCAAACTGAGTCAAAATGAGTCAAAAGGAACTGAGCGGATTTGAAAAAGGTAATTGAAAAAGGGACTAAAGTTTGATCGTCTTTAAGACTCATTTGCCTTCATGATTTAACTTCTCATTGCACTTTGTGTCCAAAAGTGTTATCTCTAATGGACTGCATGATAGATTCTGTCAATTGGCTCCATGTAATTAAATAGACGTCAAGTGAAACAGGTTTGGTTAATGTATAGAAATACAGAAGGTTAATAAGGAAAGTTTATTTTAAGATATCAGGAAAGAAAAAACTGGAATCAATTTCTGACAAAAAGAGAAATCTATTAACCCGGATGTCGAGGTTTTTAAATATGTACGAAATGCACATAAAAGATTAACGTTAAGATTTCAACGCAGTGACTTAAATTTACCAAGAATTTCTTTCTTTATTATCTAACGTAATACAATTTTTGGCGAGTACAAAACGGAGAAAATGAAATGAAATGAATGGAGTTTTACGTCCTACTTGTCTGCACCATGTGGGCTAATGAACAAAATTTTACACAATAAATAATCAGTTCTCAGTGAAAACGATTAACAGATTTCCTCTGTAATTTGATATAAGGCGTATTTAAACTCTTTCCACCAGCTCTTGCACATTCCCAAACTGGTCGTTAGCTTTGTTAGGTTTCGTATAAGGTTCGCGTTTGGTTCTTAATGTTATGAATTTTATCACGCACTATTGTGAATATTGGTTGGAACTGAATCGCTGGAAAAAGGTAACCCTTTTGGTTTCTTTCAGGTGTAGCCAGAGTTGGACACAAAAATACTGTAAACAATATGGCTTATGTTCTTTCTGTTCAGGTCTGCTAATCACTGCATTTACAAACTTTCTTGATACAAGAAAAGTGTCTAATGACGTCAAGGTATTAGATGGAGTTCGTACAGTGGCGGAGCCAAAAAGGTTGCAGCCCCGAATGCAAGTTTTTCGGGCTTGACTCTCATAACTAAGTTAGAAATTCGGGCAACCTCAGATATATCGCCACCCCTCTCGGACGTCAACCTGACTTCGCCACAGA